CCCTTCTTCTTTTTCTGTTTTTTTTCTTTCCCTTTGTCACCACCACTCAAAAGTAATGTCTCTTTCTTCCTTCTGGCCACTTTCTCCTCTGCTGGACTTCATTTTCTCCCAAAGGAAAAGAAAACTAAAATTTCAATTTCCAATTAATTCAATTGATTTCATCAAAACAGCAGAATTTAACATACACTGAACACTAGCAATTGGCTTTGTTTCAGGGTCTCTCCCAATTCCAATGCTTTATAAATGTCCAGCAACACTGTTTCAACTGACCAAATCATACGTAATTACGGATTGTTTAACTCTTCTTACCATGTCCCTTAAATTTTATTTGGGCTAGCCATCTCAAAATGCTTTCTTTTCAGCACACCAACCTTAAAGCCGTTTTTCAAACTCTATCTCCGACCAGTATACCGTAGGCGTTGAGGCAAACTCCGTATCATACTTAAGACTGTGCTTTCTCAAGGAAGGTTTCGAATGCAAAAGGGAAGGAAGAAGGAAATATTTTTACATGGGAAATCCAAATCTTTTAGATGAAATGGATGAGGGAGAATGATGTGACATAGATTTGATAACGCTTTGGGAAATAGAACTTAAGGTATTAGACAGGTCTATGCTTAGGATAACATTTGGTTCTTTACTCACTGGTACGTGTCTTCACCTTTTGTTTATAATCAGATAGGGATAACAAAAAAGTTCTCTGGCAGAAAAGATTGCGCATTTTCCAATTTGGCAGGAAAAGCGTTTGTTAATCCTCCCATATGTAGCTTTTTTGCAATGAGACCCAAGTCGACTTGGGGTTTGGGAAATAACATACGGTGTTAAAGTTACCTATGGCTGATCTACGCTGTTGAAAACCAATCACCGCCCACAGAAAAAATTACTTCGTGAAATTCCAAAAGAAACATGACTATTTGATAGACTCACTAGGCCTCTACTACTCCCCGATCTACCTCTTCACTTTGGTACTCGTTCACCCCGGTGTAGATTTAACCATGGAAACTGGGAAACAAACATTTTAATTAAATTTCATCTTATATACATAATATAATCTTTGAACTGCACGGGCTATGACGTAGCGTTATACATGGAAAGTGGATTTTGGCGCATTGATGCCATCAATTTGGCCCTCGCTTGACTTTATCTTCTTCCATTGGGAATGGAAATTTCCAATTTCGTTCCTTGCAAAGGGGTGTTCCATCACTTCAAGGTTTGAGTGATCGCTTGCGATGAAGGGAGGAAATTGCTCTAGCCTCTTGTGGTACTCTCTCGTTTATCATGAACCGAACTTCGCAGGAGAGTCAATATTCATATTTCTTTTGTTAACGCAAAAACCCAAACAACAGTAAATAGAGTATTTACAACTAGTTTAAATTTTATCGAGATTGAATAGAGAATTATCCACCTCTCGAATCGCCGGAGATCTCCACGTATTTGCAATTGAGAGGAAATTACTACAGAAATTTATACAAGACATTTTGAATATACACAAAACGTTCCTTATTTAGAAAGCCACTTTCATAAGGGGATAAAAACTGAAATTTAAAAAAATCGAAAAAACTAATGAAGCTAAAAAACATACGCCACTAAACTTAAGCACACTAACCTTTAAAGCCACTCACTCCACCATTGGCATGCTCACGAAAGTGTAAAAAAAAAGAAATCAAAACAGGAAAAATTCAATTAACAGTATGCTGGAAACTGACAATGCCAGAATGTTACATAACACTCCCTGGCATTTTCCTCAGTGGACAAACAACCAAATTCTTGTTTCTCCAGAGGTCTTCCAATCTATCTTCCTTTAGATGGGCCGCTTGGTAAAAATTCGTCTTGCTAAGTGGGATTTTCAGCAATGACAGCACATGATACAAGTAGATTCGTTTGATATTTGTTGAAAACTTCTCTGATTAAATGGAAAATTAATTTGATTATGTTTCCTATACTCGAGACCATGAAACACTGCGGGGTTGGAGATTTGAAACTTGCCGACAATATTTAATCACAACATTTGATCTTTTGTAGCTTCTGATTCTTGCTCCACAGCTGCCAGAATCTTTTGAGCATTCTTTTCCTTAGCCAAAATAGCTGGTTTTACAGCGAGACGCGAAACACTACTTAGAGGCAAAGGCGCAGATGTACTTCATTGCTTCCTGGGCTGTTCGATTGAGCCTGTAGTTTCTTGTTTTTTATTTTTTGCAAGCTCCAACTGTAAGAACAAAACTACATACTCCCTCGTGCAAACCACAATGAAATGCCTTTTTTCAGCCCTGTTGTCGATAGGCTTCTTCTTTTTTCGATTCAGCCGATACCTTGATAATTAACATATTACCACCAAAGATTCTGATATGGATCTGTTACAGTTGGCTGTGTCGGTCATACCAAGCTTTCATAAGGAGGTCTTGTCTTGCAATAGCTTTTGTGGGAAGTCTATTTAATTCAATAGAACAGAGTATTGACTGCGCTGCCCAGAATTGGTTTATTTTGGCATTTTGCTTTTCTCAATATTAAAGACACCTGGCCATCCTCCAATTATTGTCTTTCTTCTCTTTCAGGGCCAACACCCCATTTTTTTGTCCGTTGCGTGTTCCAGGTCCTTACGTGTAAGGTACAGTCAATTTGAATGTTCAATGCCTGGTACTTTTACAAAATTCCCAGCAAAACTGGCAAGAAAGACAAGTCATCTTATTCTCCTTCCATTGTTCAGATCTTTAGAGCCTTTAACTGCTACTAACCCGATTACCACCCTTGATTTCTCTACCTAAAAGCTTTAAATTGTTTAAGACATTATTTCACAAGATCTTTCACTTTTGGAGGGTTGTGGTGGAAATAAAAACCAACACATCCTGGTGCGGTTTCAATCAATTTAAACTAGGAGAAAATTAATTGTTACCACCCTCAAGGATTTGCTGTTTGGTCATGAGACCCACACACTCAGGTGTGGACGATGTTGAAGTTTTCTGATTTTGCCCTCCATGCCTGATCTGTTTTGAGACCAATGGACTAGCTTCGATTTGCTTCCCTTGCTGAACGAATCTCACAAACTTGAGTATTTCCATAGGAAATTTCAGGGCATATACTTCCCACCAGGACCTTATTGTTCATATTCAAGCAATTTGTTTCTATTTTGATTTGAAATACAGATGTCCAAAGCCCTTTTACTTGCCAGCAAGTTTGTCAATTGATTCGCGCAAGCACTTGTGTAAGCTCTTGCCGAGTGTACTGATCTTTGTTAAGCACAGCCCACTAATCCTTCTTCCTCTTGACTTCTATGGAATCTCTCCATTCCCACCATTTACTTTGGATTGAAGGTCAATCATCAAGAAGTCTACTGAAACATTCTCTTGCATCATTGCCAGCCAAAGTGATTGAGGTTGCAAGCTGCTGGCTCCCGCAGTAAGCCAAATGCATAGAGAAGTCAGTTCAATTGAGAAGCATCATCGTAACTGCATCACAAAAGCTTGCTCTCTGTGGCATTCATTTTCGTTCTGCATTTGAGTGCTTTCGAGAAGGTTTTTGAGCCTCCTGTTTTTGGATTTGCAGGACTTTTGGCGATTTACATGCGCCAACCTGCCTTACAACTGTCCACCACTACAGCATTCAGGCCTCCACCAGCCTCGATCTTCATCACTTAGAATACTTAACCGTACGACTATACCACTGCTTTTCTCAAGAGTCGGTTGGTTTTTTTGCAATAGTTCTGCCCAAAGAAGGAAAACGACAATTTTCTTTGAACTTTCACTGCTATTCTCAAGGCATCGGTGGACTTGCACCTTCATTTTTTCCTGGTTTGGAGCGATGATGTTTCCCCTTACTAGAGTTAATTGGTTTTGCATAGAGGAAAGCTCTCTCGTTGAATCATCTCCTGCCTCATATTCCCCTTATCTTTCGCCCTTCCTTGCGCTTGAAAGGGCAACTCATTAGGCTTCAACCTTTGAAAAAAATCGTACATATGGTTCCTTTGGACCTTTCAAGAGATTACAAGAAATCTTTTGGAATTCAAAACAAATACTCTGGAGAGTCACAAGACCTTTCTCCCGACAATTCTTTGTTATCTGATGTAAATCTTCAACCAAGCAATCTTATGTTATAACAAATCAAAGAAATTATCGACATCCGGTCATTACTTTACTGACTTTTTCCCGCATCCAAACTATGTGCCTTCAACGAACGTTCAGATTCAATTCCCTTTTCAAGTTCCAAAACTTGATTTTGGACGTGGTTTCTATTCAACTGCCTTGGTATTCTTCCTTCAACCTATTGTCCAAGCCTCCTTTGCTAAGTATTTTGCCAAAGCCTTAAATTCGGGAACCTTAGCCCCCTGAGACTGCCGAATCTCGCGTACTGGAACATTTTTTGAATAACTGGACTTGGGCTCTAGATTTCTTCTGCTCTTTACGATTACACTGTTTGGATTTTTGGATCTAGAACCATAAAGCATTGGTGCTAAGGTGGGGTTTTGCTTTGGCTCCTCGTGGGTAAGAGCAGGGATTGGTTTATCTGCCTCTGTTACAGTATTCCCAGAGTATCAAAAGGCTTTCCAATATAGCTTGCATCTTCACTTGACCAATTCGGATAATTATTGACCAGTTAAGATTTGCATAGTGGCGGGGTTTAAAGATACCTTGCGCTGCTCGGATGCCATTGTGGGAGTTATTTGGATTAAAAAAAAACTTTGCGTTTTGTGTTTGGTCCGGCGAACAGATTATAAACTGCTCTCGATACCACTTGTTAAAACGACAACAAACTGGATAGAGAATTTACAGATTAAATCCTTTATGAGATTGATAGTGAGGAATTCCAGCATGTATTTCATTTGCCAAGAATACTGGCCAGAATTATTACAAAGAATGGGAAAATAACAAACTTTACCTATTTAGAAGCCCACTTACTAAGGTGGATAATAAAAAACTGACAATTAAAAAAATCTGCAACTTCAAGAGCTGAAAAAAACGAGCCACTAAACTTAAGCCACACTAACTCCACCATTTGATGCTGTTAAAAAAAAGAAAAAAGGAAAATACAAGAAAAATGAAACCAGGTATGCTTGAGAACTGAAATGCCAGAATTCTAAATTTTTTACAGTATACTCAAATTATATATTAGAAACCAAATAGGGGAGAGGAAGGAAAAACATATGAACACGAGTTACTTGCTATAATTTCTTATATTTTCTTATCTGTTGCAGAAACTTATGATCCAATTGACAACCTTAACACTGTTACAAGCTTCAGAGGCACTTATTGTCGCTGAAAGTTGTAAACCTCTCAGGAACTTGACCAAGTGGACACCCCCAGTCTTTCAGGAATTTTCGAATCACTAAGCGGTAATTATGCCATACTACGCTACGGGCATCGTTGATTATTACCTAAGATCATCAACGCTTATATGGTAAATCCAATTAATTACATTCAACGCGGCTAAATTCCACAGGTGATTGAAATGCTTTACCACTTAATTGTAATCATTTTGCATGAATTATATTTGGCTTATATTGCTAATAACTCAAATTACACAATATTTTTGCAGGCTTCATAAAGTTGGGGTTTGAGAAGGGACTGGGGTAAATACAGGGCAGAAAAGAGTTAAAGACAACAATTGAGATCAACTCTCAGAAGTACTTTCAAGCTCCAGATCCAATTAACATTAGGAAAAATTCTTAGCTATGTCCCAGTGCCAACAATTTTCAATGTTTTGATTATTTTTCTCTCGTGACGGCTGGTACTTTGACAAGCAAATTGTTCTTGGCTGCCATGATACTGAGTGCAATTTTCAATGTTGTTATTTTTTCTCCTCGTGGGTACTTTGGACAAGCAAATGTTCTTGGCTTGCCTGATACTGGTGGCCAGGTATATGCATCTCTTTCTATTCCTTAATGCTTCATAAAAAGTACTCCACATGTGTTTGATATGTTCATAAGCAAAATTTTTGCTACTCCAAAACAGGTAGTGTACATTCTAGACCAAGTGAAAGCTTTGGAAGAAGAGTTGCTTCTCAGGATTAAGCAACAAGGGCTTAATGTGAAACCTAAAATTATAGTTGTAAGTTAAACTATAATTACCTCTCAAGTTATAGTAAGACTACATGAGAAAAATTGGAACAATGAAATGAATTTTTCATTTATTTGATTCTCTAAAACAGGTTACGCGACTAATTCCTGAGGCGCGCGGAACTACGTGCAATCAAGAACTGGAATCAATTAATGGCACAAAGCACTCTAACATCCTTAGAGTGCCATTTACCTTTGAAGATAGGGTTCTACGCCAATGGGTTTCTCGTTTCGATATCTATCCATATCTTGAGAAGTTTACGCAGGCATGTTCTGACCTTTATATGAGTTATTGATTTTTGAATGTTTAATGCATTTTACTTATTATTCTATGTTCTCTTTTGTACCTTCAGGATGTTGCAGCGAAGGTATTAGACCTTATGGATGGAAAACCAGATCTCATCATTGGAAACTATACTGATGGGAATTTAGCAGCAACTCTTATGGCTAACAAACTTGGAATAACTCAGGTTTCTTATTTTTACTTGAATCCATACCAAATTGATCGATTGTTCAAACTTCCTCAAACCAAATGATATATATATACTAATTGAAAATGCTTTTGATATGAGGCAACTATTGCACATGCTTTGGAGAAGACAAAGTATGAAGATTCAGACATCAAGTGGAAAGAATTAGACCCTAAGTATCACTTCTCATGCCAATTCATAGCTGATACAATTGCAATGAATGCAGCAGATTTTGTCATAGCAAGCACATACCAGGAGATTGCAGGAAGGTTCGAAACTATAGCCATATCCCTTTTTCTCATAATACTCTACTAAACATAACCTTATCAAACAATCTGATAAGAATTGAAGTGATGTATTAGAAATAGAGAACATGAACACTCATAAAAATTGTGTTAAAAAATCTTGTTAATTCCTTGCTAAAATTAAAGATTCTCTCTTTGCAGCAAAGACAGACCTGGGCAATATGAGAGCCATGCTGCATTTACACTACCAGGGCTCTGCAGAATTGTTTCTGGCATTAATGTCTTTGATCCAAAATTCAACATAGCTGCACCTGGAGCTGACCAATCTGTCTATTTCCCATACACTGAGAAACAGAAAAGATTCACACAATTCAATTCTGCCATTGTATTAGAAATAGAGAACATGAACACTCATAAAAATTGTGTTAAAAAATCTTGTTAATTCCTTGCTAAAATTAAAGATTCTCTCTTTGCAGCAAAGACAGACCTGGGCAATATGAGAGCCATGCTGCATTTACACTACCAGGGCTCTGCAGAATTGTTTCTGGCATTAATGTCTTTGATCCAAAATTCAACATAGCTGCACCTGGAGCTGACCAATCTGTCTATTTCCCATACACTGAGAAACAGAAAAGATTCACACAATTCAATTCTGCCATTGAAGAACTACTGTACAGTAGAGAGGAAAATGGAGAGCACATGTTAGTATTAGACATAAAACATTTACATTTCGCTTCCAGAATGGCCTAATTTTTAAATTATCTGACATTTGATTCTTATATGATTTTCAAACCAGTGGCTATCTAGCAGACAACAGGAAACCTATTATCTTCTCTATGGCAAGGCTTGACATAGTAAAGAACCTAACAGGACTAACTGAGTGGTATGGACAGAACAAGAGGCTGCGAAATTTGGTTAATCTTGTAATAGTCTTTGATCCTACAAAATCAAAATACAGAGAAGAAATGGCTGAAATTGGGAAAATGCATGCATTAATAGAAAAATATCAACTGAGGGGCCAGTTCAGATGGATAGCAGCACAAACAGATGGGCAGAGAAATGGGGAACTTTATCGCTGTATTGCAGACACGAAGGGAGCTTTTGTTCAACCAGCTCTTTATGAAGCATTTGGACTTGCTGTTATTGAGGCAATGAACTGTGGCTTGCCCACTTTCGCAACCAATCAAGGTGGTCCGGCTGAAATAATTATCGATGGAGTTTCGGGCTTCCTTATTGATCCTAATGATGGAGATGGGTCAAGTAATAAAATTGCTGACTTCTTTGAGAAATGTAAAACTGGTATTGGATACTGGAATAAGTTCTCAGAAGATGGATTGAAACGCATAAATGAATGGTAAATACTTCCCATTTCCTCAATAGTTTCAATTGCAGGGCTATATCATCATTTTTTTTTTTTTTTGAATCATTAGTGACTTTATTTTGCAGCTACACTTGGAAGATCTATGCAAATAAGGTATTGAATATGGGTTCCATGTACACTTTCTGGAGACAGCTGAACAAGGAACAGAAGCTAGCAAAACAAAGATATATCCAAATGTTCTATAATCTCCAAGTCAGGAGACTGGTATGACCATTATTACTATAATGAAATTTCAAGCTAAAAAAAAAAAAAAAGAAACAATACTTCAATAGTTCACTTGAACTTTCACTTGTTCCTAATGTTCTATTTAATTTCAGGTAAAGAATGTGCCAATCCCAACAGAAGAAGCTTTTCAGCAGCAAACATAGCAAAAGACTGTAAACAAAACACCATCAAGGCAAGTAACTTAATTCACCAGTCACCACCAAGGCAAGTACTCTTAATATCACAGTCACCCACTCGTGCGGCGTTTCTTGATATGAAGTTATGAAGAAAGGTTTGTCTTACGGAAAGCTATATAATTTTTTTTTTCCTTTTTTGGCTTTGTGGCAGTACCCCTGACGCAGTTCAGTCGTAGATTGCAAAGGTAAGTAGCTAGAACGGTCAAATAATATGATTATTATTTTGGACTTCTCCAGAGAAAGGCAAAATAAATATATCTGTTGATCGTATATTATTTTGTAAAACGCAGGCAGGATTGGTTGAAATCTTATGAAGATACTACCGAAAATATGCAAATTAAATCTTTTATTTTGCTAATTTTATTATATCATTATGTCTGCAGTAATTCCACATCTCATATTTCTTATGCCAAATTATTGGATTTGCATATTTTAGTGGAATTAATTGACTTATTTCCTATTTAATAAACGACAAACTTTTGACGGAAAGTTAAAGCTAATTACCTTCCACTACCTTATAGTATAAGTTACATTTACAGCTAATTTTACATAAACACACGGGCGATAATTATACACCTTTTAAGTTGTCTGAACTTGCTATTTTCTCTCTAAATTTTTAGTCCTCGCGGGAACGTGGTATAATTACTGCGTTGGGCGTGATAACATTTTTTTTTAAAAATTTGATTTTAGTGTCAGGATTTTACAGGTGACTGACTGTCATAATTATGGATTGCAAAGGTAAGAGTAGAACGTCAAAAAATGATTATTATTTGGATTCTCCAAGAAAGCAAATAAAATTATCTTTGATCTATATATTTGTAAACGAGGCAGACTGGTTGTAATTTATGCAAATAAAATATGCAAATAATTTATTATTTGTAATTTATTATTCATAATTGCAAGTAATCCACAGTTTATTCTTATGCAAATTATTGGATTGCATATTTTTTAGGAATTAATTGATTATTCCTATTTAATAAACGACAACACTTTGACGAAAGTTAAAGCTAATTCCTCAACTACCCTTATATATAAGTTACATTTACAGTAATTTACATAAACAACGGGATAATTATAACTTTTTAGTGTCTGAACTTGCTATTTTTTTCTATTTTAGTCGAGGTTATCAGTTGGGCGTATAAATTTTTTTTAAAAATTTGATTTTAGTGTCAGGATTTACAGGTGACATGACTGTATAATTATGAGACTCATTCTTTCACATGTGGCAGATGAGGAGCTCCAAATCTGATTATCATACAAAATCCACGTGGACATGCTATCATATTCCCTAATTTGCCCTTTAAAACACCCAATGCCCTGTTGAGGTCCTCACTTTTCAACATATCCATTGTGCCTCAAACATTAAATTTCAATGTTGTTCATTTTGCGTTTTAGATTTTGATTCAAACCCACAAAATCTTATTTGCATTATTTATTTTCATTTTAAAAAAACTCTCCATTCATCTACTTCTTGAAGTATCAAGCGTTTCGTGATTGAATGTTTCCATGACTGACAAATAAAATTTTATAATTAAACAAAAAAAAATTTAGCAGAAACAAGAAGCAAATTAATAGACTATATGATTTAAAATTTATTTCAATCGAGTAAAAATAAATTTCGTGGGACATTCTCAAGATCATTGCTTCATATATGACTAGTACAAGAAAAAATAGAGGAAAATAAAATTAATAAAATGAAAATTAGGATTATATGGATTCATTAATACCAAAATTACCAATAAATCACGAAATCTAAGCAATAAAATAGGCTAACCTATAGTTTCACTGACTCCAAATCAATTAAAATCAATTATTTGATTTATCATCCTCCATTAAATAAAATAAGAAAAAGGAAAATAAAAAGTTGAAGGAGAAGAATCAAGACGATATAGTATTGCTTTTTAATATTATCATTTCACAGCAACGAGCTCCGGCGATAGCATGGCTGATTCTCCTGCTACCAAAAGGAATTCCCAAAGGCCTACCTGTTATCTTTCTGATCTCTCTCTTTATTTTTTTATTTTTTATCATTTGGGTTTTAATTTTCATTATTCTTTATACTTTTTTTTTTCTTTTTAAATCTGAGATTTATCTTCCTATCTATTATTCATTATGCTTCTGTTCTTGGATTCAGATTCTCAATTCACACAACAACAGCTTCCTGCTTGGAAACCAATTCTAACTCCAGGATGGGTAATATGGTTTTAAATATTATTATTAAAACACATATTTAAGCCTCTGAACTTTTTTTGAATTTCGCCTATCAAACCCTTTAATTTTTATTTCAGATAGATTTAATCCAAGTCACTAATGGCAATAATAAAAAAATAAGGAAGAGCTTAATTTAACAAAAATAAGGAAAATCTCAATCAAATCCAATGCAAATGCATGTTTAATAAACATGATTATTAATCTCTAATGCCTAGCTAAATAAAGGCTTGACAAAAATAAAAATTCAGGGGGGCTTAATGTCGACAAGGGAGCTTAATGACAAATTTGATGAATTCAAAAACCTAAATATGCATATTTTCTTCTTATTATTATTATTTTTGACTTTTACTTTGTTTTTCCTTGTATTCAGATCATTACAACATTTGTATTTGTTGGCATTATCTTCATACCTATTGGTCTGGCTTCCATGTTTGCATCAGAACATGTAACATATTTTATTTTCTATGAAATTTTTACTATTTTGCAATATTTAGACTGTGTTCGGCAATATATTTTTAAGTAGCTTTTAGCATTTTGTGCGGCTAAAAAACAGCTAATATTACAGAACATACCCTTAGTAAAATGTCACTAACAAAGTTCTAACTTTTTCTCTAGGTGGTGGAAATTGTAGATCGTTATGACGAAGATTGCATTCCTCCTGATTATTCAAATAATAGTCTTGAATACATTCAAAGCAATAAAACTAACAAGACTTGCACCAGGAAATTAACCGTTAGTCCTATTCCTTTTGAGTTATATTTTCTTTTATCTTTTTCACCTTCAATAATTAGACAAGATTCATTTGTTTTAATCAGTAGAGTTCATCCAATTCTTTTCATTTTTCAGGTTCCAAAACAAATGAAAAGTCCAGTTTTTATCTATTACGAGCTTGATAACTTCTATCAGAATCACCGACGGTAAGTAACTATTCTTTCATATTCTTTCATGACCACTCAACTTCACAATTAATTTTAAACTGACTATGAACAATCAATTTCTTTTTATAATTTGGTCATGAAAATTGTATTGAAGTCATTTTTCTATTCAAAATTCATGACAATCTCACACTCACCATGGTTAGGCCTGACCGGTTCATCGAACCAACGATTCTGGTTCAATAAATCAAATCCGAAAAAGATTACAACGAGATAAGCCAGTCTTAAAGTTTTAGTTTTATTACAAAAATGTATTTTACAAAAAGCAGGTCCTGACTAGTGTATTTGATCAATATATAGGGACATAATATTAATTTTTCTTAATTTTAATATCAAAATTTAAATGTTTCAACTAATTATTATGTGAATTTATTTTCAGATATGTAAAAAGTCGAAGTAACAAACAACTACGGCATAGACAAAGTGAGAGCGACACAAGTAGTTGTGGACCTGAATCACTCGCATCAAATAATGCTCCAATTGTTCCTTGTGGCCTTATTGCATGGAGTTTGTTCAACGACACCTATGGATTTTCCCTTAAAGACAAGGCTTTAGATGTTAGCAAAAAAAATATAGCATGGAAAAGTGACCAAGTTTATAAATTTGGGTCTGATGTGTATCCCAAAAATTTCCAAACTGGTGATTTAATTGGAGGTGCAAAACTTAATTCAAGTATACCTGTAAGCATTTTCATTCCTTACTTATTCATTTAAAAAAATTATTTTTTACTTTTTTTCTAATCAGAATTAAGTTCGCTCTAGCCAATTTTTGATATGGTTTTAACCGATTAGGCCATTTTAGACTACTCAATTCTGAAATTGACTATTTCAAGTTAATTTTCGGTTTAATTCCAATCTAAAACCGCATATTGGGGGGTTTAGTATAAAGAAATTTCAACTTTTTCCCTTTTTAGAGGAACTTATTCCTATTTTCTAATGAAGGTTTATTGGTTTTGCATGAAAAAGTTGAATGAACAAATGGATCTTATTGTTTGGATGCGAACAGCTGCATTATCAACTTTCAGAAAACTTTATGGAAGAATAGAAGTGGACCTTGAGCCTAATGATATAATTATAGTTACTATAGAAAATAACTATAATACATATAGCTTTGGAGGTAAAAAGAAGCTTCTTCTTTCAACTACAAGTTGGATGGGAGGGAAAAATGACTTTCTTGGCAAAGCATATCTTATTATAGGTGGATTCTGCTTGTTACTGGCAATAAACTTCATACTTGTATATGTAATGAAGCCCAGGTGAGCTCATTTTATGCCTAATGCATGAATTTGACTTTTGGCTTTTGGCGATTATCCTTGTGATTTCTTAAACTTTGTTGGGAACTTAACATGACTTTTCACTTTCACGTTTCAATAATAACTATGTCTCTTGCTAGAATGAAAAGTGAAAGTGCAGGGTATAATTGAACCTCCACTAATTATTTCATTTTAACGAGAGACATAATTATTATGAAATGTTAAAGTAAAGAGTCATGATTGAACCCTGCATAAATTCAGAAGACTAAGTGTTTGATTTCTAATTGTTAATAAAACAAAACTTAAATTAAAAGAAATTAAAAAAAGTGAAATAATGTTGAGGTTTTTGTATTTTTTTTTTCATGTAAATAATTTTTTGTAGCTCATATGCTAGAATTTTTGTGTTGTTGTAGGGCACTTGGTGATCCATCCCACTTGTCGTGGAATAGAAATCCAGTTGGACATATGACTTAAAACTACTCAACAATCCTCTGCTCATTCCAAATTAAGGCTTGGGAGTACATTTCGAAACATCCATTTTGATGCATGAAAAGCATAAAGCTCTGCAATATATCAACATTATGCAAAAAGGTATTAACTAGTTGTAGCTAGCTTAAATTTTAATATTGCTTTTCTACATTTATTTAATTTTAATATTGCTTTTGTACATTTATATATTTACATATAAACAAGTCTAGTTAGATCTAACATTATATTTCTAGTAGCAGTTAATAATTTTAAACTTTAGTGTATTTTCTCATTCTGAAAAGACAATCCTGACTCCTATCAAAGTCATGTTTTTATAATTGGGTTAATTGTTATTTAATCTTTCGATTATAGTCAATTACACTAGTTAAAACCTCAAATTTTTAAAATTTAATTATCTCATCGCTGTATTATGTTTCCACGCACTAGGTAATTTCACCGTTGGCTTTTCCGTTAAATAGGTGTGATATGTCAACTTTGCCTTTAAAAAAAACATGTACCAATTACTAGGTATGATCACGATTTCAAAACTGTCAGTTTTGGTTTCAAAACCGCCGGTTCGGATTTTGAACCAAAATTAAATTTTATATTTTAAACTTTTTAAAATATTTTTTAAATATTTATAGCTTGAATAAATAATAATAATAAATATTCCAATTGAAAAAACTAAATCAATTTAATAAAAATTCTTAAAAAATACTTTAAAAAACTATAATAAAATAAAAAAAATAATATAAGAGTTTCTTTAAAAAAATGTTTTTCACAATTTGAAACCGAAACTGTTGGTTTTAAACTAAAACCGCTAGTTTTGGTTTTATAAAATACAAAATCGGGACCGAATTTTAAATTTACAGTTTCGATTACGATTTTAAAACGAAAGCTGTTGACTATAGTTTAGTATCGATTTTGGCCGATTCAATTTTGGTTCAGTTCCAAACCGTAGTCATCCTTACCAATTACCATCATCACCCTAGTTTTTTCTTTAGGATTTTAGTATCATCTCCACTTCCCATTTGGTCATTGATCATTTTTCTTTGATTCCTGTCATATGGAGTCTCCACCATGATACCATCATCAATACATCAACCACAATATTAAGCATCTATAAGCAAATTTTATATATTGAGATATTTATCATAATTAATAAATAACTATAATATTTTATGATGGCCTAATAAACGTGTTTTAGACGGTAAGTTGGAAAGCACAATAGTCAACTAGATTCAAAATTTGCTAGAACTTCATGCCAAATCTATACATTACCCTAAAATTATAACAAATTGAAAAATAAAATGCTTGAATTAGCAAATGGACCTTATCATTATTTGAATAGCCACGTATTAAATGTCATAGTTAGAAAATTATAACAAACCGCAGAATTCAGACTGAATTTAATATTTTAACCTTATAGCTATATGCTAGAATACATTAGCAACTACATCAAAATCAAAAGACAACAACCTAAATAGGATCGAATTCAGATCTCAGCCCTCAATATTTTCTATCAAAATGCAAAAACCACAAACAATTGAAAAGAAAAAAAAAAAGAAAGATTTTTACTTATTTTATGAGAGATTATACTGTGTCGATGTGCTTGTGCATACAAACAAAAGCGACAGCATAAACTCTAAATACTCAATTAGATGAGCTATTGTTTACAAATTAAAGGGTCAAAATGACAAAATTTGTGTTCTAACAATGTTTGGTTTTTCTTAAAACATAATTAATTTTCTCTTATGCTCAAATCCCAAATCAAGATGAAAAGTTTATCAAAAACAAATATAAAATATTCATGGACAAGATAGTATTGTAGGCTCCAAAGGAATGGAGATATCTCTATCACACTTGTTAGAATCAATGCTTATAATCCCTTCTCCCTGCACATTCACATAAATCAAATCATTAACTCTAATACTTGGTTTTCATATTGAACAAAAAGTGGGTTTTTTTTTTATTTACCTTTGCAATATTTCTAAAGTATGTTGTTGTATAATTTCCAGTAGGAAATAATGCTTCAATTAGATCTGCTAAAACCAGTTGAGGTTGTGAGACTGCTCCATCAGACCAATCTTCACACGTGGAATTTAGATATAGGGGACAAAAATTAGTAAATTGTCATATTTGCATAGTATGCATACATATCTCCATAAGAAACTTACCAAGAGTGGTTGAATTTTGAACTCTCTTATCATATCTCCATAAGCTTTGATTTGTGAGAAATGCAAAACAAGAACTATCTTCAACATTTACATTTTGAAGGAAGTTTGACTGATTATAGCCAACAGGGTCAACAGTGTATGTTTCATCAATTACTACATCCACAGTCTGTTCAATGTGTAAAAATTTTGAAAGAGAAAAAAAAAATGTCAAAGACAAAATTTCATATGATAAAGGCTGCCTATGAATTTTATCTATGGAAATTAAAATCTATGAATTCTATATGGAATTTAAAAACTCTGCTGAAAAGAAACAACTTACACATAAAATTGCATGCAGATCTTCCAAGTCATCAGGATTTGAGGTGCTATAAGTAATCTTGTTAATGGAGTTGTCAATATTTTCTCCACCTGCATCTTCCACAAACTGTTTTCAAGTTTAATGCATTTCCTTTCCATTACAGGAGGAAGATAAAAAGTAACAACATTTTGATGTTATTACCTTCAACTTATATGTTTCCTTTGTAAAGGACCATATACCCTGCAAAGAAATAGAAAATTCATCAGCATTTTGCACACTGATTTTCTTTTTTCATTAATTAATAGTTCTATTTATTAATTGTCTAAATACTGACATTGTCATACTCCATCCAAGCTACTATTGGCTTGAAGGATCTTGTTGTATTTGCTGCAACCTTAGCCAGACATATGTAGTTCTCTTTAACCTGCAAAACATAAATTCTTCATTGTCAATCTAATATAAGAGAGTAATTTTTATTTCTATTTAATTCTTTAGAAGTTATAAGAACTTACTAAGTAGTTGATAGAACACAATTGTACGAACTATATATTATAATCTCCTGAATTATGTCAAAACTGAACTATATAAAGAACTTACTTTAAAAACCCCATTCCTGTTTATAATGTCATGAAAAGCAATACTTACTCTTCCATATACTTGATTGGCTCTACTCTCAATATTTGCAAAAGCCCCCAAGAACTTTATCCACTCTGCTCTCTGTTGCCAACAAAATTTTTTGATTAAAATCTCAATATTTTCAAATAATAATAATAAGAAGAAGAAAAACAGATATACCTGTAAAGGATTATCCTCTCCAAAAGGAGCAAAATTTGCAAAATTACAGGCCTGTGGTTGATCATTATCACTCACAAAATGGGCTGAAAATGGATAAAACTGTTGTGGGTCACTTCTGTTTATTATTTCTGTTTCTCCTCTTTCATACAATTTCAAGGCACATTCTGAAGCCATGGAGTTTGATGTTATGCCTTTCATACTCCCCAGTAAGCCCAACAGCTGAACAGATATATATATCATCTGAAAATAGCCTTGAATCCTTTACTCCTTTCCATATAGCTCTGATTGGCCTCTAACTCTCAATTATTTGCAAAAAGAGCCCCAAGACTTTATCCACCTCTTGCTCCTCTGTTGCCAACCAAAATTTTGATATTTAAAATTCTCAATATTTTCAAATAATAATAATAAGAAGCAGAAAAAACAGATATACCTGATAAAGGATTATCCTCTCCAAAAGGAGCAAAATTTGCCAAAATAGTACAGGCCTGTGGGTTGATCATTATCACTCACAAATGGGCTGAATCGGTGAATTAAAAACTTGTTAGTGGGTCACTTCTGTTTATTATTTCTGGTTTCATCTCTCTTTCATACCATTTCTCACAGGGCACATTCTCAGATAAAGCCATGGAGTTTGTGTTATGCTTTCATATCCCAGTAAGCCCAACCCAGCTGAACAGATCTATATATAATATTACTATTCATTACTATATACTAATACACTTATATATTATTATACTATAAATATGGAATTACCAAACAAAAACAACATCTAAAAATGCAAAATTATTTTTTTGAAATAATAAAAAAAAATTTAAGCTGGCATATATATAGGAAAAGAAAGGCATAACTAAAGAAGAAATTTTTTTATTTTTTTGAAATTCATAAAAACTTTTCAAGTCTTAGCCTGGAATTTTGAACATATTTAAATATTTTCATTTGCAGTTAACTCATTAAATTCTTAATTAATTATTTAATTTTAAAATCTATTAATTTTTGTAGTAATATATAATATGGAAATTACCAAACCAAACAACATAAAATGCAAAATTATTTTTTGAAAATAATAAAAAATTTAAGCTGATATATATAGGAAAAGAAAAGGATAACTAAAAGAAGAAATTTTTTATTTTTGAATTCATAAAACTTCAAGTTTAGCTGAATTTGAATATTTAAATATTTTATTTGAGTAACTCATAAATCTAATTAATTATTTATTTTAAATCTATTAATTTTGTAGTATTTTATCTAAAGCAATCATAATCAATAAACTCTCCTTCAAAAAAGAAAAATCATAATCTATAAACTTGAATTTCAACAAACCAAAATTTGAAACCAATATAATTTTTGATAATAATTTCCATCAGTATATATTAATCTCCATTTACATTTCATCCTTTTAGCCTCCTAAAATCAACTCTCATACATTACCTTAAGCTGGAATCTTTTGCCAAACCCAGGAGTCTTTTGCCAAACCCAAATTTGTAATTACAGATTTGACGAAAAAATAATAAAGAATTTTAATCATTCTAAAAAATGTGATGCTTGATTCTGAAAAAAAAAGGTGAATAAAATTTTAAAAATCTAAAATTTTCAAGAATTTATCAACTAATTATAGATATTACTCATATTTTATATAATTTTAACTAAAAGAAGCTGATGATGCTCACCTCGAAAAATGAAACTGCAAATAATAAAAAAAATGCCAGAAAAATAATGAGTTAGATAAAATAACTGCCACAAAATATATTCAAGAACAAAACAAATTAATAATTTTGTAGGAGTGTTGATTACTTAGTTTTTAATATAGAAGTACAAGAAAATCATACTTTCCAATTTTAATAATGGAATTAGATAAAAAAAAATTTAATTAACTATCATATAAAGAATTTAAAATAATTTTTAGGAAATATTTTACCTGGAAAGGAGAAGGTATCAGCAGAAAAGTTTGATAAAGGAATGACAAAAGATTTGATCCTCGATGTGCAATATTTTGTCCTTGTTGCCATCCTTGAGTCGTTCTGTTCATAAATCATAAGGAAATAAATATTAAAATTTGTATTTTTCTTGTATTCTCTTTCAACACCGTAGGCTACTCAATAAGAATAACGCCGAACTCACCAAATTCACCAAATTAGTTATGATCGAGATGACTCGACTGGACATCTTTTACTCTTCAAATAAGTGAAAAGAACAGCTAAAATATACATATTGATAAAATTTAATAAAATTATTAAAAAATAACTATCTTTATGGCCATACTAGTTTAAAATAAGTAAAAGATTAAAAGCTATTTCCCTTTTCTTTGGTTCGGAGGTTGTGGTTGGAAAGGGAATATTTTCGTTCATTATGTGGAAAGTGGAATAGCAAAAAAGAATTATTATGAGTATATTGACTAATATTCTAATTTGTTCGGAAAAATAATTTTAAAATGGGGATTAGGTAATCACATGTATCTCACTAATTAAATTGAAAGAGAGAAAATTTTACTTAATTTAAAACTAGAAATGAAAAAAAAAAAAAAGTTCCCTCTCTTTTGCAAAACCCTTTAAACCCCTCAATGTTTTAAAAAATTAAATAGAATTTAAAATTTTTTAACATCTGCAGTCTGCCTAATCAGATGCAAATTAAACAAAGGAGGAAAAGAAACGAGAGAAAATTAAATTAATAATTTAATAATGGAACGTCTATCTCACAATCATATATGTAGAGAGAAAATTATGAATATTAATTTTTACTTTATAAATATTTTGAATATATTTAAAAAGAAGAAGGAAAGAATTGTAATTTTTACTTTTACAAATATTTCAATATATTAAGAAAAGAAAGAAAGAAAGAAAGAAAGAAAGAAAGAAAGAAAGAGGGAGAAAGTGCAGCAACTTGAACAAAAGGCTTTTTGGGTTCAAAAACTCTGTGTTACTCCCGTGACCGAACAAAAGATGACAAAAAGAAAGAAATCTGTGTCTGTTTGTTGTTAGAATAGTAATGGAAGAGAAATGAAAAGAGAAAACCTGAATAAGGAGGTAGCTCTTGCCATCCATAACATTCTTTATAACTTTGAAAGTCTGTCCATAATATATATGAAAGTTCACTGCATCTTCTATTTTGGATATATTACCCACTTTAACTGTAGAAGAACTACCTTCAACCTCTCCAAACCAACACGTGATCAAGAAACCACCTAGTAAAGACAAGAAAATTTGCACCCAGCAAGACATGGCCAAATCAAGAATCAAGAACCAAGAAAATCAAGAATCCAAGAACAACAAGAAACAAAACCTAGTTCCTATATAATCTTGGAGAAATTACAAGAATCATATATAGAGTGGGCTATAAGAACCAAACCTATATAAAAGAGAAAGCTAGAAGTGAGAAAGCTTTCAACTCTAGGAAGAAGAAATAGTAAGTATGAATGGGGTTTGAAAGAGAATGGAAGGTGGGGTCAATTCAATTCAATTGTTTGTTGGGTAGTGTTAGTTTTGGGTTTTTAACAGTTGGTGACCCGTGAACTTATTTTTATTTATTTTATTTTATTTTATTTTATTTTGCCTTAATTTGTCATTTTCTTTTTATCCCCTTTGCATTTGCTTGTAATTTCTTGCCATTTCTGTTTTGCTTTCTACCCATCCCACATGTGCTCTCCACCACCACCACCACCACTGCCCAGTCATAAGTCATTCTGAATTTGATAAATAAAAACACCAACAATTAGTATTAATAATGATAATTATTAATGATTTATATTAATAACCATGTGCTACATCAATTAATTATGCAATCATTTTTTTGTATTCATTGCCATTCTATTCGTATCTCACTTTGCTTTTACTCAATGTGTTTCTTTAGTTGGAAAATGGGTTTGTTGTTTCAGTTTCGTATATGATTGAAAAGTTTATATCATATGCTTGTGATTTTTTTATTATATTGTAATTTAATTTAAAGGTAAATTTAATTTATAAATAATTGTTTCTATAATTGGGCAATCAAGTGGTGGTCAAATTAGTCTTCTCATTTATGTAAAGAGTGGAAAGTCTCGAATTTGAGTCCTTTTGACCACCGTTGTTTTCACCAATCTAGTGAATTAAGGGGAAGGCTACCCTTTATTTTGTAGCCCATAGTGTTATTCGGCTCGTAAAAGCCTCCAATAAATTAAAAAATATTTCTCTAACTGGTTCAAAATTTAAATTCTGAATAAGCATATTAAGAATATCAATTTTTTATTTCTATTTTCTTAATCTTAAATTAAATATTGATTTTTAACTGAAATTGATAATTGAATTTTTTTTTTTGAACTTGATAATTGAATTTAATATAACATAACATTGTGAGATTATGAATTTAAATTCTAATAAAAAAAGATGTGATATTCAGGATATAAAAATAATAATAAATTAATATTTGAATGATAATAAAAAGAATTATATTTTCTTCTTCCATGAAATCAAAATCCTATTGACTTTTTAGTTATTGTGAGATTGAGTAGCACTTTCATGTTCATCCAGCTGTGAGGCAACTTTTTGTTTACTGCTCTGAACCTAAAGCCTGTGCACAGATTTGCACCAAACCCTAACAATAGCCACCCAAAGATAAATAATTGTTTAATGATAAACATATTGAACAATTAGAAATTTCGAATATAAATAAGTTTAATTTGCGCTCCATTTATTTTTATAAAATAATTTATAAAAAAATATTTTTCATAATTTTCATATTTGGAGCATTGAGGAAAATCAATCAATAAAAAATATTTTTCCGATCAAAGAAAAATTGAATCATTTTTAAGAAAAATAACTTTTCATTCTCAAGAGGAAAACATCTTTCGGATATAAACAAACTTATTTTTCAAGAGGAAAGTATCTTCCGGATATAAACAAACTTACTATTACTTTATAAATTTATATTTTTTAATTTATTAATTATCGATAGCCACTATCAGCAGTCACAATTCACCACTGGTTACCATCACCGACCATCAGTGACTTTCATAATTTATCATTTTTTATATTTTTCATATTTAATAATAAAAATTTTAAAATACAAAATTTCTATTATTATTTATATTTTTATGGTCTTATGAGTTAAAATTTTTAATTTTTTAAACTAATTTTTAATATTGCAATCAAATAAGTCATTTGAAAAATATTTTTATGGAAAATATTTTTCTTGGAAAATATCACTGCAAAAAAAAAGTATATTAGAGGACGTTCAAAATCATCTCCTTAAATTAAAAAAAAATGTCCACAATATTTTTAAGGACAATTAACATCGTCTCTTATGAGCGTCCTTTTAACGAGCGTCCTTTTTCGGTGGACGATAATTATCCTTAATTAAGAGCCATATATCGTTCCTCCAATTTTAGATGAAAATTGTATATAAAAATGTAGTCAATATTTGTCCCCCTATATAGAATGTCAATCGTCCCCAAAAATTATCCTGTAGATGAAATAGAGAACTTTCCAAAAGGTCACCTATTTTAAGGTTTCTCTTAAGTGAGCAGGCTTAACTCAAGAACTCAAGAGTTCTTTCAATTCTTCAGACTATCATCCCCAAAAATTATCTTGTAAATGAAATAGAGAACTTTCCAAAAGGTCAACTATTTTAGGATTTTTCTTAAGTGAGTACATTTAACTCAAGAACTCGAGTTCTTTCAATTCTTAAGACATTCGTCCCCAAAAATTATCTTGTAGATGAAATAAAGAGCTTTCCAGAAAGTCACATGTTTTAAGATTTATTTTAAGTGATCGCGCTTAACTCAAGAACTCAAGAGTTCTTTCTTAAGTGAGCACACTTAACTCAAGTGTTCTTTTAACTCTTCAGACCATTTCAATATACGATGTCTGTGATGATTAATTTCTCTCTTTTTTAATATAGGACATGCTTATTATTAGTATAGGAGACAGAAGTTATCCCATTCATATGGAACGTCAATCGTCTCTAAAATTAATGACAATAATTATTCTTAGTATACGAGACGTAAGTTGTATCATATACATATAGGACATTAATCGTCCCTAAAATTGATTAGATATATTCCCTATATAGGACGTCCCCAAATTTTATGACAATACTCATCGTTAGTAATATAGACATTAGTCCTCCCATCTCCCATATGAGACAGACGTTCCCAAAATTAACTACAATATTTGTCATCAATATTGGAGAAATAAGCTGTCCTTTATTATTGGCACAACTGTTGTCCAATTTTCTAATTAAAATATGAGTAAGTTATTGTAATAAATTTAGATTGTCCTCTCTTTATGTCTTATTATCATAAATTGTCTCTTAATTCTAAGGGATTATGACTTTTGGAGATAAATAATATTCATTGTCTCTAATTTTCGTCCACTTTTATCACTTTTTTTTTAGTGTATTTTCTAAAGGCACGTTATTTTCTGAAAATAAACAGAGCCTTAACTTTTTGTGGCACCTAAACCTTATTTAACATTAGATTTTTTTTTTTTTTATCTTTCCAATTCTAAACCACAATTTTGATTGAGATTAATGGTTTAGAATAATAATAATAAATTATTAACAATTATGGGATGTTCACCATTCAAAAAAAAAAAAAATGCTAACACTTCATGGTTTTTTAGAAATTATAATAATAATTCATTAACAATTATGGGATGTTCACCATTCAAAAAAAAAAAAAATCAGTAAATTTGCTAACACTTCAAAAAAAAAAAAAAAAATGCTAACACTTCACTATTTGTTTGAGTTTTTTCAAAAATAAGTAAATAAATCAAGCCAAAATGTAATTCGTATAATTTTTTTCTTTGATAAAACTCTAATTTGTATACAAATAAATTTAATTTTTTAAATTAGTACTTGTTGAACTCATTTTATGAAATTGGATTAATTTTTTTTTGGGTGTTTAGTTAATTGTAATAATTTTATTTTTACTTTTTTAGTTAGTTAATTGAATTTTAATAATTATTAATCAAATAAAGAAGAGATAATTAATTATCATTAGTTGCTGTTATTGAAATTAAGATAAAAGTGGTTAGAACAAATTATTTAATACGTATTTTAATGTGCAAATAATTTTTTTTTATTTTTAATTAATGAGTTTTATAATTTTTTTTAATCTTACGAGTTTTATATTGTTAAAACCAAATATAGAGTAAAATTAAACATAAACATACAAAAACTTTCATTAAACATGATATAAATATTTTTATTAATTATTATTAGGTATTTTACTATCGATTCTTTACTTTGAATTGCTTAAAAAATATTTCTTCTTAATTTTGTTTGTTTTTATACATTAATTATTAAATAAATTAATCCTTTAAAAAATATAGAAAAATAACAAAAAATTTATAGAACTCATATTTAGTGATATATATTGATTTTAATATTTAATAATATATTATTAATATTATTAAAATTTAGAAATCATAATTATTATTATCAAAAAAATGAAAAATAGAATAACAAAGAAAAAAAGAGAATCACTTTATATACATAAATTCCTTAAAGAATTTCTCGTTATATTAATTCAAGATCTGTGGTTATCATCGTTAATTACTGCAAACACAATGTCAACCCTTTTTTTTTTTTTTTTTTTTTTTAATTCGGGCCAACAATTAGGTTCCGCGGCATTGCTGAGTGCCCATCATTTGAAACTTTCATCAGCACTAAATTCATTAAGCCGGACGAAGACTTAGGACGATGCATTTGGGCTCAAATGGTTAAACCAGGACAAGTTAGAAGGGCCCATATAGTCCAAAAGAAGGAGAAATTTCTTAAATAGATTTAGTCTAACACCTTGCGTTTTAATAACCATCCCCCACATTAGTAGTTTACTTTTTTTTTTTTTTTTTTTTCCCCGTTCTACATCAATGAGTTCTACAATTAGACAATTTTTTTTTTTTTTTTTTTCCGTTCTACATCAATGAGTCTAAATTAAGACAACTATATTTTTTATCTCTAACAAAACAGAAAACGTGTAAGAATTAATAAAAAAAACCTAGAAAAAAAAAAGATATTGATGTGACTTTATTTCATTGGATGAGTCTATAATTGACGTGGTAAACTGAATCTACCTAAGAATTTCTTCTGAACATATATTTTCAGGAAATACATTATTAGGCCTATTAGGCTGTAAATATTTAGAAAAGTATTGCACATGTCTTGCTACCTAAGATATTTTAGAATCTACTTTGGTTGCCATAAGTAGGAACCTTAGTATAAACTAGTAGTCTTCGTGCGGATGTTGTATAATATTTAAAAATAAAAATCCTATTTATATTATAATTAATAATTATTTTAAAAAATCTAAATATCCAATTTTTTTTAAAAACTTAATAATTCATTAATAATGAATATAAGTCAAGTGTATTATAATAATGTTCCTATAGGAATAACAAATATAAATATAGAAAATTGAAAAGGTCCGGATAAAAATTGTTCCATTTTTAAACAGGATGACAAAAGAAACCTTCCGCAATATTGTTCCAAACATTGTTTTTTTGGAAATTTGTTACAATTGACAGCCGCAGGAAAGTTTAATATAACAAATTTTAATGGAGGAACATGTCGCACTACCAGGCTCCATTGGTAAAAAAAATTTATCTGAACTTGAAAATGTGAAGTCTCCAACCACAAACAACCAACAATTCATCTTGTATTTCGAACTGCCAAATAAACAAATCCAAATAAAAACTCTTCAATAATGATAAACAACTCTATGAAAGGAGAGAAATAAATGACCCCAATAAGAGGGTACCAAAAACACTTAATCTGAGAGACTAAATACAAGTTTTATTCTAAACGATAATATGTTTGAAAATTATTAAAAAGAAACTAAAGAAAACAAAAAAACAATAGTGAGAGATGAAAAGAAACCACCGCCCACCAAAGAAAACGGTCGGCGGTGGTTTAAAAATAAAATCTAGAACGATACATGAAAAGAGAGAGCCAGAGAGAGAGAGGACTAGCCCAAATATCCAATTTATTATATTAACCTATCTCCAAAAAATGAAATAAAATAATTTTTTCCATATTCTTTAAAAGAATCAATATATTGACATATACATAGATAAATCAAGTTTATAATTAAGCTTAAAATTTATAATTTTTAAAAATATTTTAATATATTTTACAATAATCTTTTTAAATATCATTTATTGAATTCATTTTGAATAAATAATCTAAAATCCAGGAATAAATATAATAAACATTAAAAAATTTTTAAAAAAATTTCATCGAAATTTTCCCTGATTTAGAATTGGTTAAAAGTATTATCGTCTTTCTTCGCAAATCACAAAATCATACCTTAGTTGATCATTGAAAATTGAATATATTCTGTAATTCTATCATCATCACCACATTGATCAAGCGACCATCAATAAAATGTCATGAAAATAATATTATATTGTTTGTAAATAATTCATTTCTTTTTACTAAAAGTATGATTTAATTTTCTTTAAGATTTCATTTATATTGAAATAAATATCTATAAAAATTCTGTCATAGTGAAAAAAAAAAGAGAAAACGAAGAGATTAAGTATTAATTATTTTAAAATAGAGAGTGAAAATTTTTAAAATATTAATGATATTATTAATTTAATTAATTATTTAAAAAATAAAAATACTATTAATGATATTAATTAAGTTTCCTATTATAATTATTTAAAAAATAAAAATACTATTAATGATATTAATTAAGTTTCCTATTAATTATATTCCAACTTAATAAATTAACTTTTTGCCACATAAACATCTTAATACTTTAGAATTGTGCCACGGAAACTTTTGTGCCCTAACTTTTATATATCTATATAAATAGATAGGAATCTTAGTATAAATAGGAAAGAGTACTTATTCTCTCTCTTGTGCCAAAGGGACATGACAATAAATATACCAAAATTTTGTGACATCAAGAAGCATTTATTCTCTCTCTTTCACTCTTCTTCTTTTTACTTACACCGGTATTAGAACACATGCGATGAGCGGAAAAATATTAAAAGATGAAATAATATTTTATAACATCATTCAAAAATAGTAAAATTATATAATAAAATAATAAATTTAAATTATTTCATTGATAATATACTTATTGAAAGAGTTGCAATGCTGAAAATATTATTTTTTAAGTATTCTCCAATGTAACATCCCTTCCAGCTACCACCCGTTAAACCCGAATGAACCGCCAGTCGAGACCACTACAATCTGGTTGACTCTATGTCCTTGATGTCCTGTCATGCTGATATCATAATGTATACTGACTATACGATCATGCTGTTGCTTTCTACATTAGTACTGTGCTTAATATTTACACGACATTATACTGGTGTCCAAAATGAAATGGGCCCAACTATATGCCCTGTACAAGCCATGATATATATAGACAAAATTAAAATATCAAAATGAGTATCTACCCTGAAGACTGGATCTTCACAAGATGAACTGCAGCAGTTGTAAGATGATTCTCTACGGTCCAGACCCAAAACCTACGAGTTAAACAAGTAACTCGCTGAGCAAATAAAGCTCAGTGGCTCCAGTGGATATCTCAACTTATAAATAAACATGCAAGACACACATATCAATTATACTTTCCATGATAATCAATGTATAAATAAACATATAGCACAAGCTGCATTAGCTTTTCAGTAAGTTTTACTTACTGTTCATTATGCTGTATGGCACTTTATAAATTCTTTACATTATATAGTGAGAAAATAATTTAAATCCTCGAACTGATAGGCTCCATAAGGTTACAGTGAAAACGAGAGATTAAGAAGACTTGTTATTGAACTACTGTATGAAACTGGGATTGAATACTGATCATGACTGTGCCTGCCTTTATGGCGCCATATATAATCAGATCCACTCAACGGCCTAAGGCGGCCGAGGTAACAAACTGTATGGGGCGCAGATCTGCTTATCCTATGTCAGCGGACATAGGTCTTATCTATCTACATGGTTTCTGCCTAACCTCAATGGAGCATATTATCGGTATTTCAAGAATACAAAACAAAAGCATATTTAATTCTTCATCAAATTCATAAACCTTACTGTTTACCTATATGCTGTCTCATTCTATATGTTTCTAACCTGTTTCATGCTTTAAGAGTATAAAGAAATAGAAGTAAATGCACACAATTGATAATTTGCATGGAAATCTAATTGATGCACCTGTGAGGCAACTTGTACCAATCATTAGATAATTTAATTTTGACCAGTCGGATTAAGGAATTTATTACTGTTAATGTAACTCAACTCAGAAGGTTCAAATTCAGTAATAATTTTAGGCTGCATGAAGCTACATATGCATCCCAACATCATTTCTAATGTAGCCTTGAAATCTGACAGGGCAACTTGTACATGTTTCACAAATTCTAGCATAAATGCATGAGCTACCACTATGACGAAGCTACATATGCATGCCAACAACATTTCTAATGTAGCCTTGAAATATGACAGGGCAGCCTGCACATGTTTCACAAATTCTAGCATAACTCTATATTCTGAAGTCCAATTGCAGTAATTCTAACTTCTATTGTTAGCTAACACATTAAGGTACAACTTTGTCTTCTATCACATCTCTGAATTACATTGGTAAGGTAGTCAAATATGGAGCTCAAGAAGCAACTGCCAGTCTGCCCAGCTGTTGGTTTCCAGCCTGCATAGTTTGTACTATTGTGGTCATATCTCTCAATTTATACCTCCAATTTAGGTGATTGTACATTCTATGGTTAGATAACACATTAGGCTACAAATTTGTCTTCTATCACATCTCTTAATTACGTTGGTAAGGTAGTCAAATATTGAGCTCAAGCAGCAACGTAAGGTATTCAAATATTTAGCTCAAGTAGCAACTGCCAGTTTGCCCAGCTGTTGGTTTCCAGCCTGCATAGTCTGTACTCTTTTGGTCATCTCTCTCAATTTATAACTCCAATTTAGGTGATTCTCAATTCTATGGTTAGCTAATACATTAGGATACAAATTTGTCTTCTACCACATCTCTTAATTACGTTGATAAGGTAGTAAAATATTGAGCTCAAGTAGCAACTGCCAGTCTGCCCAGCTGTTCCAGACTGTGATTTCTCCAGCCTGCATTAGTCTGTTACTATTTTGGTTCATAATCTTCAATTTATAACTCCAAATTAGGTTGATTCAAAAACTCATGGACAACTAAAAAATAGCAAGGGAACAAAAACCCTCTCTATTACACTTCCTAATATTCATCGTTAAAATAGAGTTCAAAATCAGGGTGAAGGATTACTGGTCAGGAGATCCAACAAACTCTGGCTTTCAGCATGAATTCAATATCTATCTTCATTCATTCAATTTCATCCCATGGCATTATCACCCTTTTACAGAACCAATCTTAATTTCAACCAATTCGTAAACAACATTCAGTAATATATGTTTTCATTATCAACACACTACACAAGTATTCATGCAAGAAAATGTGAAAAACTAAAAGAGATATCAAACTTTCAACCAAAAGAGCTTTAAAGCTTCTTCTTAGCTTCCTTTTCCTCCTACTTTGAGCTCCCCTCTCCTATCCATAATAACAAATCATCTAAAATATCACAAAAGTATGAAATTCAAGAAAGGCTACTTACTTGGATAGAGTTCTAGGTTTAATTTCGTGTTTAAATCACATGAAAAGTGATGAAGAAAGGAAAGAGATGAAGAGAAAGATGAAGGAGATAAAGAGGAAGATGTAGATGAAGAAGACGTTGAAGATGAAGATGAAAGACGTTTGAAGCATTGGAAAGAGAATTTGTAAAAGAAAATGAAGAAAGCAAACTTGAAACTGGAAGTCTCGTCATATTACTTCCCAACATATCTCTTTGAATATGATAATGGTACAATTACCAAATAATACCACATTTCTCTACATGTTACATTTTAAATTACCTCAACTTAATATTTTAGTGCAAGCTAAAATCCCTACTCCTCTTATACTTTAATCTATTTTTGTTTTTATGCAAGTAAGTTCCACCCTTGCTCTTACTTATTTAAGTTTACATCCCATTTCTACCCCACTCTTTGGAGTTAAATGGCTCGAACCGGGTTCTAGTTTCGGGCCGACTCCCGACTTCAAAAACTCTATACAACGACTTGATTCAGTAGGATGTCACATGCAAGAGCCTTTCAAAAGGTATGCCAAATACACAAGGCTATTGGCATGGTATAACCTATATAAAAACAATACATACACACTATTTAATGTATTTCAATAGTGGACAATAAATTTTTTAAGAATTTTAACTAATATATTGAAATTAGAAATTAAGTGACTTTTTTTATTTTATATGTCTATGATTTATTTCGATCAATGATTGTTTATATTTGAAATATTTAACTGTATTACTTATTAGTTTAATGTGTCCTAAGTAGTGTGGAATTGTCCTACTTTTTTTAAAAATTATCGTTATCATGTATGGTTACTCCATATCTCGTGTACTGTGTTTATTATAAACTACTTCGTCTGCAACAAACTCCTTTTGTATTATTATAAGACTACTCCAACATTAAGCTAATCGACCAAAGTTTTTTTTTTTTATTTAATCCAATCAAAAATGAAATATTAATGTATTACTTATTTGGTGTAGTAATCTAAGCCTGTGCATGTCCTATTTTTTTTGTAAAAAATTTATTGTATCTCACACGTTTCGGTAATCTCAGTTACATCCCATTCTACCCCACTCTGGAGTTAAATGGCTCGAACCGGGTTCTAGTTCGGCCCGACTCGACTCAACTCTATACAACGACTTGATTCAGTAGGATGTCACATGCAAAGCCTTTCAAAAGGTATGCAATAACAAGGCTATGCATGGTATAACCTATATAAAACAATACATACACACTATTAATGTATTTTTCAATAGTGACAATAATTTTAAGAATTTAACTAATTATATTGAAATAGAAATTAAGTACTTTTTTATTTTATGTCTATGATTTATTATCAATGATTGTTTATTTATTTGAAATATTAATGTATTACTTATTTAGTTTAATGTGTCCTAAGTGTGTGAATGTCCTACTTTTTTAAAAATTATCGTATCATGTATGTTTCCATATCTCGTGTACTGTGTTCGTGCAACATAACTCTTGATATATAAGACTACTCCAAACATTAAGCTAATCGACCAAAGTTTTTTTTATTATCAATAAAAAATGAAATATTAATGTATTACTTATTTAGTGTAGTATATTCTAAGCCTGTGCATGTCCTATTTTTTAAAAAATTATTGTATCTCACACGTTTCGGTATCTCGTGTCTCATGTCCGTGCAACCTAACTCTTGGTATATGACATTACCCCATACACCAAGCTAATTAACTAAGATTTTTTTTATTACCAATAAAAGATGAAGTGTTTTTTCTTTAAATTATTTTTATCTCATTGAAATAATAAATTATTTTTTTTATATATTTCTGATTTATTATAAATGATTATTTATTTATTTATTTAAAATATTAATATATTACTTATTTAGTATAGTGTATCCTAAGCGTGTGGATATCCTTTTAAAAGTTGTTGTATCTGGTATGTTTTTATATCTCTTGTCCCGCGTCCATGTAACCTACTGGTATATGAGGCTACTCCATATACCAAGCTAATTAACCAAAGTTTTTTTTATTACCAATAAAAATGAATTGTTTTTTTTTTAAATTTATTTTCGTGCTGTTGAAATAAGAAATTAAGTAATTTTTTTTTATATTTATGATTTATTATAAATAATTATTTATTTATTTGAAATATTAATGTATTACTTATTTAGTGTAGGATATCCTACGCGTGTGGATATCATACTTTTTTTTAAAATTATTGTATATATATTGTATATTTTCATATCTCGTGTCCCTTATGCGTACAACCTAACTCCTGATACATGAGACTACTCAATACTTCAAGCTAATCAATCGAGGTGTTTTTCCATTATAATAAAAAATGAAGTGTTTTTTTTAAATTTATTTTTTTGTCATTTGAAATAAGAAATTAATTTTTTTAATTTTATGTTCATAAATTATTATAGATGATTCTTTATTTGTTTGAAATATTAACATATTACCAATCTAGTATAGTATATCCTAAGCGTGAAAATATTCTACTTTTTTAAAAATTATTGTATATATCCTATATATTCTCGTATCTCGTATTCGTACAACCTAACTCCTGATGTATGAAACTACTTAATACACTAAACTAATCAACTGAGATTTTTTTTTATTACAAATAAAAGATGAAGTGTTTTTTTTTTAATTTATTTTTGTGTCATTGAAATAAGAAATTAATTTTTTTTTATTGTATGCTTATAATTGTCACGACCCGAAACTATGGGCCGGATCGGCATTAGAGTCAAGGTAAGCATAAAGCTCCCGAGGCCTGTAATAAGCTTGAACCACTAAATTCAACTATATCAATATGAATTTCAAAAACAGTTAGCCCATATTGCCAAATACATAATCAACCTCATAATTATATTATACTCTAGCCCAAATCTAGCATATCAAACGTTTTATTGCTCGGGCCCAAACTTATCGGTTATAATTCTACAACTACGGAGTTCACTAACAGATAGATATAAATAAATTTTTGTAAATATAGCTACATAATTTAAATAACTGTTGACATTAGAGGTTACTTTTCTAGCTCTGTGGTGAAGGAAACTAAGGTTTAGCCAAGACGGTGAAAATCTACTTCCTGGCAAAATTAAATTAAAAAAAAAAAAAAGAGATTCGTAACTTAGTGATAATGCCTGACAGACATTCACACGAAATGCTTCCAAGAACACTAAAGTGAACACTTAATCAATCAAGTAAACGGCACAATATCAGCACTCACATAGAAGTACACCTTCATATAATCAAACAGGTGGAAATTAGTCAATGGCCTCATCAAAACCCCTAACGAGCCGTCCACACACATGGCCCGCCCTCTCAAACGTGTGCACCAGGGAGTCGATCCCCTATACATGGCCGACTGGTCTAATCCTCACTTGACCAGCCCTCTCTTTTTTTCATGGCGACTGTCTAATCCTCACATTGACCAAAGCCCTCTTCCTTTTTTTTTTTTTTCTAATTCCAATTAGGAGGCCACTGCACCAGGGAGTCGATCCCCTATACATGGCCGACTGGTCTAATCCTCACTTGACCAGCCCTCTCTTTTTTTTTTTTTCTAATTCCAATAGGAGGCCACCCTGTAGTTTTTCATATAATCCATATCATCAGATGCACACGAGGGCGCTGATCTCCCCGTACATGGCCGATGGTATAGAAGACTGCCCACACAAACCCGTGATGACCTACTTCATCCTAATTCCATGCAAACAAGGCACAACAAGTTCACAGCACAAGTAATCAAACATTGCATTTAAATGCAAGCACATTAAATAAACAAATATTGTTATGCAAATGTACAAATAGACACATATATAAATATGGAAGTAATGAATGTTTATGCTATAAATTAAATAAGTAACAACTAAACAAGTAGGTAATTATAACATTATGCATGAAACAAATAGCTATTTATTATAGAAGACAAAAGCTCTAGTTCTGATTTTCATTCAGGAGTAGTGGATGAGCTTGGTCGATTTATAAGAAGTTAAATTAAGAGGAGAAAAAGGAATGAAGTAAGGAATCCCTTTAAATAAATCTAGCGACTAATTTACTAACTACAATTATAAGTAATTAAGATTCTATCAAAATTTCAACAAAACCTCCCCACATGTAGGACTATTTACCTGTATGAATAATAACAATAGCAAGCCTTTATCAATCAAACTCATACAGCCCATCCATCAAGCAATCAATCAATTCAACCAATTTAAATACCTTTTCTCCTTTAACAACAATAGTAACACCCAATCATCGTCATGATAATTCTAAATCACTATATTCTCACGATTAATCAAACCTTATAGACACTATTTAAGCATAACTATATTTACATATTCGCGAGTATAAGTTAATTATATAATAGTTGCAAGTTTATATTCATCTACATCCTAACTTTTTTTTTTTTTCTCACGATTTAGCCATTGTTGCATAGATTTATACTTAAGTTCGGTATAAAAACTAAATTTCAGGTCTAAGGCCTAGAGACTCTAGGTTTGAGTCTCTTACCAAAGAAAGATAAATCTATTGAGATGAAATTACCATGAAAATAGCAAAAACACATTGATCTCTAACTCATTCTAAATTGTCATCAGAAATTTCAAATCGATACTGCAACTATAACTATAACATTAGATCATACTTACGACTCCTTAAATAACACTCTTTACCTTAAAGTATGAAATCAGCACTTACACTTAACTATAATATTCTTTTTTTCACATTATAATTCACAAGTTCATTTATACTCAAATGCACAAAAGCATATATATAATTCATAACTCAGCTGCCATTTCAAACTAAAATCGGTATTCCAGTTATTATCCATTGCTAACTTGACTAATTTTCTTGTCATTCAATAAGAACTCATATTTTACTTCATTCCCATCTCTATTTTTACTAAAATTTGTCACCACAATTCTTATTAAATTGATTGTCAACTGAAGATTAAATTCACACAACTAAGCAGGCTCTAGTTTTCCCAAACCCATGGAATTTAGTCTAGTTAGCTGCTGCCGATTCATCAACATCTTGATTTCTGAGCTAAAAGTGCTCCTAAACATACCTAATTATTCATTTCCCAACAAGATATAGCTGTGCAACATCAGTTCTCATCTTAATATTATCAAAACTCATAAAAAAAAGTAATATAGCTGCTGCCATTTCAAAATATCACATGTTTCTAATCAAAACTTATAGTCTACATGTAACTTATTCATTTCCACCAAGAAACAGATATACAATTTCGTAGTCCATCTCATTATTGTAAAAGTTCATAAAAATAAATGACAAGGTTGCTGCCATATCAAAGAAAATCAAAGTTCTCTGTTTAAAACTTATAACTTACATGTTATCTGATCCATTTCCTATCAAGAAGTTCATATAAAATATCACTTGCTTCCTATCATATTAAAAACTCAAACAAATAACCATCTAACTGCTGCCACCTAAGGGGTTATTAATTCCTATAAACTAACAATTTTTACATTAAATCTCAGTTTATACTTCAATTAGAGATTAATATCAAAATTCCCGAATTATTTTGCGCACGGTGTTTTTGAATCCCAAGGCTCTTCACAAACTGAAATTCATGCTCAATCTCAAGTCTATCTTCGAGTATTACATTCTTACACTATACCTCATAGAAATTCAATTTATAATATCAATGGCAGCATAAATTTTGGGAATTCATTTCAATAATCTCGCATGAACAGTATTTAAAATCCCTAACTCCATCACAACTAAAATCCAGGCTTAGATTCTTTAATCTAATCGCAAGAAATCACATAGCATGAAGAAGGAAGCCGAAAATTTCTTACCAAATTGCAAAACACGTCGGAGGACTCGAGTTTCCGGTTGACCAGTCACAAATCAAAGTCTCTCTCTCTAACTCGCTGCTGCCCCCATAGCTAGACCAAAATTGGAAAGAATGGCGGCTGGAGAAGCGCTAGCGGCGAAGAGAGAAGTCTGCGCCGATCGGACTTGGCTGCTCTTGCCGGAAATAGCCAAAAATTGGTTCAAACCAGGTTCGATTAGGTCCAATTCATGATTTTTTTTTTTTGTATGGTTTTAACTTGATTTATTGATTTTTCTTATGGTTTATCAAAGATTTATTTAATAACTTAGGTACATGAAAATGCAATATTATATATTAAGTAATAAAATAATATTTTAGCTATATTTAATTTTTGAAATAAATATTACATTATTATTGGTCTATTAATATTTAAATTTAAAAAGAAAAATTTTGATATTAGAACTTTGAATTGTTTCAATAATTTATTATAAATGATTATTTATTTGAAACATTAATATATTACCTATTTAGTATAGTGTGTTTTGAGCGTATGAATGTTCCATCTTTTTAAAAAATTATTGTATCCGGTATATTTCTGTATCTCGTGTCCTATGTCCATGCGATCTAACTACTGGTATATGATATTACTCTATACACCAAGCTAATCAATCAAGGGTTTTTTCTTTTTAACAATAAAAAATAAAATGTTTTTTTTATAATTTATTTTTTATCATTGAAATAAGAAATTAAGTATATATTACTTTAGGTCTAATTGAGAGAGAGAAAATATTAAAATATAATTGAGTGAGAAATGTTAAAATATAAAAAATATAAAATATAAAAAAATAAAAAGCTGTAAGTATACTGTTGGTCCCCACTTTAGAAAATGAAAAGATCTAGTTTGACTGATTTTATAGAAACTGTTTGTGATAATTAATTATTGGTCAAAATTTAATTGTTGGTACTTATGGTTTTTTATTTTTGATTTTTTAATTTTTAATAATTAATCAAACTTGTTTGCCCTATCGTTCCTCCTCACATATGGTAATTTTAGAGGCTTACACTTTCATATATATTATATAGATTTGAACACTTTTGGATTAACTGCCTATGGCCTATAGGTCCACAATTTCAAGCCCATACTGATAGAAACTCAGTATAGGACATGAATGGGAGTACCAAATGGATAGAAGTAGAGTCTACACTAGTCACTGTATCAATCAGAACAATGGAGTTCTGCTAGAAAAATATAATCACAAGATTTGGCATTGAAAAGTAATGATAATGGAACACAATTTGATAGCATGTCGTTTTGTGAATTCTTTCAAAGATATGGAATCAAGCTCAGATTTAGCTCAGTCTCTCATCCGCAAGCTAATGGTACTGAAGTTATTAACAAAACTCTTCTTAATGGTCTCAAAAGAAAAATGGTACTTGAAGTTATTAACAAAACTCTTACTTAAATGGTCTCAAAAGAAAAAAAAAAAAAAAAAATACTATATATATAATATATATATTTATATATATATATGTAGCCAAGGAAAATGGTTTGAACAAACAACGACCCCACGTTCTTATGAGCCTATTTATATATATGTAGCCCAAGGAAAATGGGTTGAACAACAACTGACCCACGTCTTATGAGCCTATAACTACAGTAACCCCATTATTTTATTATGAGATTGTATATATATATGTATTGAGCATTCATAGGATATGGGAACATCTTGCTTGCCACTGGATTGTACTTTCCATCACATATATATCTCATCATTAATACATTTATTCTTTCCTTTAACATCATGTAATTCACCGGAAGTTTTTATGTTATATACGTTAAGTTCAAATGCTAGTGGTTGTTAAATTAACTGCGTTGGAAATTTGAAGTATATGGTCCTCTTTAAAAGCTATGTAACCCTAATCCTCTGTAGTCAGGATAGTTGTTGAGAGAGAAACGCAGATAGCGTTCGGGTGCAGTTTTAAGCTAGGGTTACAAACTCTATGCGCCTTAGGTAAGTAAACATAGAGTAATTTGGATAAATGACTTTGTATATGTTGGAATGAGATCTGGAGACTTTCTTTTCTTACTTTTCTTTCATTTTATCAGATGATTGTTATAGATTTTGTGTATGTGCTTGTAAGAAATTGAGGATTCTTTTCAGTTTCAAGAATAGAAGTATTTGATTAGCTAAACACTATCAACTTAAAAAAGGGATAGCAACCACTTAATACTTTGGGATTTTATTTCTAAACTAGTTGCGACCAACTGTGTATCTGGACTTTATGTGATGAGCTGTTCCTTCTTTAAGGAGCCTTTTTTGTGGAGTTAAGACATAAAAATGGTGTATCTACGACAACACATGTAACATGAAACTGATGATTTAATTGAATCAATACCATGAAAATTCCATTAATCTAGTTAAGTTACAGTTATTGAATTACAAGTATATGATAAGGTATGCATCAATAATGAAAACACATAAGGAGGAACCTACCTTCAACTTTAGAGAAGGTACTATTTCTATCCCAAATTATCAATTCTACATATATATATATTTTTAGAAGAAAATTAAATTAAAAAAAAAAAAGAAATGATTCAAGAGGTAAGCATAAGATGGTTCACCCACATCGTACAAAGTGCTAAAGAAATGGTTAGAAAAAGCCCTAACTTCTTGAGGAACACACTTAATTTATTCCTACCTCTTATTATAACCAACAAATCCTTTTCCTTATTCTCACTCCACTTGGTTCTTTCTAGAATTTCTTTGTTCTTGATATTGCTAGGGTAATCCTTCTCTCCTCCAAAACCACTTTCCATGAACCCGTTCATAACTTTCTCATTTCCCACATAAAAACAATGCATCAAGAGAACCATAATCATGCAAACAACATTTCTTGCTAGTTTCTTCCAGTTATATTGTATCGATCTGTAGCTAATTCCCATGAAATTATTCTGCCTGGTAAGATTCTTGCACCTTGTTTCATGTGGGGTTTGCATGTATACTTTCTCTATTGAGAAGTCATCATTAAATTCTGGATTTAGATGGATCTTAACAGTTTGAGAAGGCACTACTTGGTGAAAGAATGTCTCGGCTGCTTGGCAAGTCGAAACAAACATTCCATGATTAACTTTGATCTCTTCAACTACCTCGAAGCTTGGCGAACTAGCTAAAGCATTCATATTGCCTTCATCTATAAAGTTACCATTCGGATCGTCATTGATGAATCCAAGTGAATAATCATCTGTTTCATTGAATACCATGCAGTCTTCCCGATTCTCAGTTTCTCCTTTAAAAGAAATTTGTCAAGTTAAATTATTTGAATTAAATTAAAATGGGTAGAGAGAAGAAAATTATATATGTAATTAAGTGTAATATTGTTACCTTGAAGTTCATGCCCCTCCCTTCTGGGGAAATTTGAAATGTTTTCTATTGGGACAATTTTGTGTTCCTCTGCAAAACTCTGTAAATTATAAAGAAAAATGTAATAAACAAAATGATTATTCAATATATATATATACATTGAAATAATAACGCTTCTATAATTTTTATTTTTTTTCCTATATTCTATTACGCGAGGAACTGATTTCAAATTGAATATAAATTATATAACTAAATATTGCAGAAGCCTGACATATCAAATTGAAACCAAACTGAATTGAAAGACATACCTTCTCTAATTCTTCATTTGACATTCCAACCCATCTCAAATTTTCTGACATCCTCTCAGTCTTGAAATCATCATCAAAATTTCCAATCTCTATAGACCTTAAATTAGGATCTCCCCATGATTTCTCCATACATCTCATTGAGTTCATGTCAGCATACAAGTTACCATGAACATCGTTATTCCCGGCTACGAAAGTGAAATCATTAGTATCATGAGAATAATGTCCACCCCATGAATCTTGAAGATTGGACTGATTTATCAGTTCTTGAGATGCATGAGCCACAGAAAGGATTTCTTGCAGAATATCTGTTCTATTTGTGTTTTGGTGCATTGAAGTTGAGTGCATCACTTTCATGTCAGTTAGTCCTACTTGAGGGAAGTCCTCTACTTCTAGTGGAGGCAATGAAAACCTGTGTTGCAACCTTGCACATTCTAATGCTATGTCAACCTGAAATTAATCAAACATACTATATGTAAGGCTAAGGCTAGATTATATTTAACAATGTTACTGAAATGATTTCCTCATTTAATGTGATATTATACCTTTGATGGTGGGTAAGGAACGTTATTGTAACTTGAAAATGATGGAGAGGAGAAGCTAAAAGCATCTTCTGATAAGAATTGCTTCCATTTCCCATCTCTTGAGTCTCCTACATGAAGAGGGGATCCGTTGGCAACGCTAGGTGAACTTGTGTCTATCGGCATGTGGTAGTTTGAACTTTCAAAATCTTCACATCTTCCTTCAGAATATAATTCAATACTAGAAGAATGTTCACTAGCCATTTGATGATTTGATGTTGAGGCAAAATGCTCTCCAATTTTTGGAATATTTGCACTCTTTTTGAACACACGACAAAGTGCGTATGCATCCTGAAAATTTCATTCGCAAAAAAAAAAAAAAAAAAAAAAAAAAAAAAAAAAAAAGGAAACTTTACTAAAAATGAAAAAAAAAAAAAAAAAAAAAAAAAAAAAGGAAATTTACTAAAAATGAAAAAAAAAAAGACAAATATATATTCTTTTCAGACATAAGATCAATCTCATTTCAAAATTCACGTAATTTCCCATAAATATTTTTAAATGCATTTAATAACATAAAGCGCATATGAAAGAAGATTAAGCTTCAGCTTAGATATTATAAGTACAAACTCTAGCAATATCAAATTAACAAAAAATAATAAAAATATCTAAAAGAGAATAAGAGAAAAATGAGAGATGCACCTGAAGACCAGAAGGAGTTTCGCATTCTCTTTCGTCGAGGCGATATTCATGCATAACCCAATCAGTTCTAGCACCATGAGGAGCTCTACCTCTATAGTAAACTAGGGTTTTTTTCATTCCTACAGAACGCATTTGAGAGTTCACTTTTCTATCCTTTCCTGTGGCCTTCCAATAACCAGCTTTCGTAGCACGATTAGTCCTTGATCCATTAGGGTACTTACGATCTCTAGGGCTAAAAAAGTACCACTCTAGATCTTTACTAGGTAACAATGACTTTCCTGTAATAAATACAATACATATGTTTCAATTCTTATCACCACATTATATCTAATCAGAATGGAAATTATGATATCAAAATATTAAGTTTTAAACTTTGATAATGTATGTAAACTTGCATAGGTCCAGGTATTTTTCACTTAATATATCTAGGATAATTTTGGATGCAAATAAGGAACTTGTTAATTCGGAAATTTAGTACTCGGATGCATTAAGTTTTTCCTGGAATTAATAATAATAATATGAATTTTTCTGATCAAAAGGAAAAACAAAAAGAAAGAAATTCATATCTCTTAAAGACAATGCAATCCTTTTCTTTAATCAAAGCTTTTTGAGTTGGAAATCAATTATTTCGGCACTCATCTTCAAGTTCACAATAGGAACCCTAAAGATGGTGGGACCATATGCTCATATGAAATAGATGGATAGAGTACGTACTTTTCTTTCACAGTTGATATTATTATAATTATAATTATGATTTCTTTTTTGGCTAAAGTTTAAGAGCCTTGACCAAATAAAGCACGTTCGATGCATGTAAGAAATTTTATAAACATCATTATTAGATTAAAAAAAGAGAAGAACAGAACAGAACAGAACAGGCATCCCTAAAGAGTATTTGAAGCTATTCTTTGATTGTCTCTACCTTTAGAAAAAGGTGTAATAACCCATCGTAGTCTTGAAACATAGACTAACTTTTGTCTTATTATATATATAAGCATAGACTATCATATATAATGTTCTTCATTAATTTGGTTTATGAACTAATCAAGAATATATGACTAAAATTGGCTTTAGAATTACGTATCCTTGATAAGATTTTTTTCTTTTTTTTTTTTTTTTTTTTTTTTTGTCTTTTTTTTTTTTTTTTTTTTTTTTGTTCTTGGAAAAGAAAAACCGTTAAAAAGTTAATAATGGAAGCCCGATGCCAAATCAGGAGTACTATATATTAAGTGTGATAGATTTATTATTATAATTAATGGTTTTTTTTTTTTTTTTTTTTTTTTTTTTTTTTGTTCTTGGAAAGAAAACCGTTAAAAGTTTATAATGGAAGCCGATGCAAATCAGGATAACTATATATTAAGTGTGATAGATTTATTATTTTAATAATTGGCTTGTTAATTACAATAGGTATATATTAATTCTGCAAGTTTTCCATAGTTTTTCCTTTTCGAAAAAGAAAATTAAAGCATGTAAATCAAACTAATGTGTAGTATGTAGACTTTCTCAATATTCCTTATCCCAGAGTTCACTCAATTCATCTTTATGTGATTAATCCAATGGAGAATTCTAAAAGATGAATATATATATATTGGAAGAGAACAATATATAGTTATATATAATGTAATAAGAAACATTAAAAACATTGTTTTAAGATGGAGGTAAAATGTTTGACAACAACAGCAACAACTAAATCTTAACTCCAAACTTGTTGGGTTCGGTTTGTAAAAGAAACTGATAAGTTTTAATTTAATTAGCCTTGTTGAAGCTATTATAGGAGTGTGAGATTATGAATGAGAACTTAAAGTCAGAGTTAATTTCTTTAAAAAGAAACAAATGAAGAAGATGAAAGAAAGAAGCTAGTGTCGTACATATATGGAAATGTTACATGTACATATATATAAATTTATACCTGGCAAATCCCAAGGTTCGCACTTGTAAAGATCAACTTCAGGAATGATCTCTAGTTCAATCTTAAGGTTATTGATCTTTCTTTTGAGATAGTAAGCAACAAGTTCCTCATCGGTAGGGTGAAAGCGAAAACCAGGAGGCAATGAAACAGGAGCCATCTGTCTCTTCTCCCTCTTAATTTAATTAGAGCAAAAGAAAGAGCTAAGAGAAGGAGAGACAGAGAGAGAGCTATGGGCAAGATTTTTGTGGAGGGAGAGAGACAAAAATGAAGGAGAGGGTGATGAGGGTTTTGATAAGAAGACAAAAAGAGAGAGAGAGAAAAGAAAAGAAAAGAAAAGAAAAAAGCAAAGTAAAGAAAGATAGGCTGCCACCACCACCCTATAATTAACTAACCTTTGCACTTTTCATTTGTTTTTTTTTTTTCTTTTTTTATAATCAAAGGATTCTTGTTACCGTTACTTTCAAGATTTTGGATTAGAAACTCTTTCTTTCTTTCTTTCTTTCTTTCTCTGTCTAATATGTATGTGGACTCTGAAAATATCCTATGCTTCATTCTTGTCCTTTCTTGGAATCTGAAACATAATCTCACATGGCCATTTTACCTGATTCGATGCATTTCCGGCCTTTTCACGTTAGAGCAAGTATCTTTGGTTAACGAGAAACTGTGCTCAACGAATGTCGGCCGCCATTTTCATATCTTAACTGAAAATATTGTCTCTTTCCACTTGCTCTTTCTCCTGCCAACAAGTAATGGCGGGTAGGTTATAGGTGGTTAGCTTGCTTTTCTTTTATTTCTTTTCTTTTTACCTTAGCTAGTCTAATTAATTTTCTGTTAAATGAATTTTAATATTTTATCAATTATAGCACCTGTTAGCTATCGGATCAAATCTCAAATGTTGTGAACCAGTATTGTTAGTTGATTTACTAACATGAGTGTGAAAAGTCTTGAGTTCAAGTCATCTCAATTACAAAAATTTTCAATAATTTGATAAACGAATAATACTCTATTATATAACCCATTGTATTATCTTAGAATATTGCACTTTAAATATAATTCAATTGGTAAATAGATTTGTTTCATGTTATTGAATCAAAGTTTCTTTTATTTTTTATTTATTAGAGATCAAATAAATCAAAAAAAAAATTCATCAATACTTATTTCGATTGATAAATTTCACATTTTTAATAATTTTCACTAAATTTATAAAATTTTCTACAAATAGGCCAAGTAAGAATACCAACTAAATTACAATATAAACAAAATATTTTTCGATAAAATTATTAAAATAGACCTCACAAGCATAAAATTTAACAATAATATTATCTTATTAGTAGATCAAATTAAAAATATAAAAACATAAAAACCATCCCTATTAATTATGGAGAATGTTATAGGTGCAATACATTAGTAGATATGGATTGGATGGATCAAAAACCACTATTGATGATACCATAAACCAATCATAAGGTTGGAATCATTATTTTCACCAAAAGCTCAATTCCACTTTTTAACTTCCTTTGCTAAGCTCAAGTAAGTCTGATGTGTAAATTAACTACTCTTACAAAAAGGATGTAGGCCTCCCCTTGCCTTTGTGCTATGGAAGCCATTGGCTTGTAAACTCATATACTTGGTTGTATGCCTATTTCATGTGATTAAACGGTTCAGTTAGCCATAATCACGGTTTGATTTTAGATCGAAATTAGAAGAAAATTAACCTAAAAATTATGGTAAAAATTTATTTATAATTGGTTGGCCAGTTCTAAAAATTTACTCTTACTGTTCCCTTTTTTCCGATTGAAAAACAAAAATTTTTTAAAAATTATATAGAAAGAAACAACAACTGTTGACTATTACTGACACTTAAACTAAATCAACTCTAAGTATATATATGTTCAGTAAAATTACTTGTTTTGGTAGTTGTTTAATAACATTTAGCTGTTTGAGTAGCTGGTAACTATTTAAAAAACTTTTTATAAAACGTTAAAAGTTAAATGTTATAAGGATTAATCTTTTATAAAACTTTACTTGATCTTTAAAAATTAATTCAAATATTATGTCAGCGAATACTATAAAAACAACGTGTATCATTTGTTTTTAATTAAAAAATTGTGTTCAACACGAACTAAATGTAATTGAGGTTTCTGTTCTTGTTTTTTCCTTGTAGACCTTGGAAATCGAAATTTGAAAATATAAATATATAAAGAGAAGAAAAAGAATTGAAAGGGAAACATAAACCACTGGTACCAATGTAGAGAGGGGGGAAGTAAGATTGAGGGAGAAGGATTCAAACGACATGTGGTTCCATGTGGGGCCAGGTCTTTACCGCGTGATGAAAGGTCCACGTGGCAGAACAGGATAACAGGGTAGTGTTCCGATTCTTTTACAAGCGATTCCAAATTCTTCTTCTCTTCCTTCCATGCTTTTCCTTTACATCAATCAATCTTTTGGTGCTTTTCTTTGGTCATTATGATGGTCTTTTCAAAATACCGTCAACCTTCTCACTCTCCTTTTCTTTTAATTAAATTATTATTATTATTATTATTGACAAAAATTATTTTTTCCAGTTTTTTAATTTTGCTACAGATTTGTGAAATTATCAATTCAATCAATATTTGTGTAAGTTTTATAAAAAAAAATGAGGAATTGATCATTCAAAGATTAAATTAAAAAAAAATATATCACATAGACTAAAATGAAAAAAAATGAAAGATGACATTTGAAAATTTATATATATACAAATGTTTACAATACGGAATACAAATTTTAAAATAACACCAGTTTGCAACTCAATTTACAAAAGGAAACAGGTTTTTTTTTCCTATATATTTTGTAAATTTTGAAGAAATTTTTTTCTTGATATTTCTTTCTTAATTTTTTTAATTGAGAGAACTTTTTTAGATAAAAATATTAATATTTATTTATATCAAAAAAATGGACATCTTGATCTAAAAATATGAAAATATATAAAAAAGAATATCCAAATAAAAAATTAACTTTAGTTTTTTCTAATCTACAAGAGTCTTTTTGGTTCAAATATTTGAAATTAAATTCGGAATTTTGAAATTTGAGTTCAATGGGATAAAATTCAAAAATTTTATTTGTGTATATGAATAGGGTATAAATGTAAATGTAAATCTAAATCAAATCCAAAACTGAACTTTTTGGGTATACATATAGAAGTTTTAAAAACTCTTATTTAATATAGAAGTTTTACATATAACTCTCATTTAATTTATAATTTAAGTATTAAAAAATTGTACAAGACAATTAATTTGAACTTTAATATGAATTCATATTAATTTTATACCTCCTTATAATACGCATTCATATATATCTTCTTTTTCTAATATGAATTTATATTTTCAACCATTGCTTTTATTTTATTTTTATCATAAAATGTGATTTTAATTTTTAAACAAGCACAGATTGAGTGTCGACTTGAAATTAAAATACAAATGGATATACATCAAATATTTAAATCTATTGAGTTTGAGGATGTATATAACATTCTCTATCGATCGAGGATCACGAGTTTATAAAAATTAAGAATGGATATAACATGATATTTGTTTCTAATATTATATAATTACTTTTTAAGTTTTATGTTAAAAATATAATGAGGCCTTAGTTAATAATATTAACTAATATTTTTTTTTTATTAAGCAAGACAATCAATGGGGAAAAGGCAAGCAAAGCATATGTTTGAACACACACATTCAGACCATGAAATAAATTAACCAGATCATCTCCTGCAACATTTAAATTAAAAATAATAAATAATTTTAAAAATAGATTCTTGCCGAAAGAAAATCTGTGTTCTTTCTTTTATTTATTGAAGTCTGAACGCCCTATTGGCTATTAGACATGAATCCAAAGGCCGGAAAGTGGAAAAAAGGAAATGTTAAAATAATAATTGGCTTATCCGGTAAGATCATTTTATTATTATTAAAAAAGCAACTCGTTTTCTCTTCTTTTGCCTCCTTCCATATCCAAATTAGTAAGTGGTAAAGATTTTTAAATTTTGGTTTCTTTCTGCTTAATTACGAATTAGTATTTAATTATTTGGTCATTTATACTTAAATAGACTAATAAAAATTTTTATTTTCAGAATTTAATTGTTTAATTTTCTAGTTTTATCTTCGTTATATTAGATTCCTCATTAGTCAAAAGAATCAAAAACTGTAACAAGAATAAAATCAACGGACTATATGTTAAATTGTAAATATAAATAGTTCTAATTAGTAGGAAGGTTGGATTTGAGAAAGAAAAATAGGACTCAATTGAAAATAACTTTATAAGTGAGAAGTAAACAGTAATTTCACACACACAGAAGACTAAATTGAAATTTTACAAAAAAACAGCATATTTAAACGTATCATTCATTTTTTCTCATTGCATCTCATTCATATCAATTCTCATATACACGATTTTTCTCTCACTCGCACCAACATCACTACACTAATTCTTTTGTTTTTCACTCTCACGTCACAACAGTATACACACATCATGCACAAAATGTTAGCCATATTGATAGGTGAGGTAAGAACAATCTGAACCACAAGTTTTAGTTATAATTATAAAGTTTTTTTAGATCAATATTATTTTAATAATAGATATTTATAGATTTTTCTAGAGTAAAGGAGATATTTTGAAGAGATAATTCATAGACAAATAAAGAGTTTTTTAGAAAAACTTGATATTTGTTAATCATGAAGTCTTGTAGAGAGTCAATGATGACTCTTAACACTCCCCTCAGCATTGACTCTCTTTGAATGTCATCCTTGATGTTATACTAAGTTGCCTTTAAACTCCTTAAATTTGATCACACCAAGTCCTTTAATAAATATATCCATAATTTGATTTTCCTTTAATGCTTGAAACTCTTTCTCCATAGCTTTTCTCCATTCAATTTTAAGAGTTGCTTTATCAAAGGTTATTGGCTCCTTTTCTTGAGTAAGAGCAGCATTAGCATATATCATATTTGGTATTTGTATTCTGCTTGACCGTCTTAATTGTCGATGTGATCCATCTGCATCATCAATCTCTTGTTGATTTGATCGAGCATCTTCAGCAGTTCTTTCATATGGTCTGTCATGGGCTTGCAACCTTTTGTTGTGACATTGACACTTTCTTCTCTTCTTGGTAAGCAAGTGCTAAGTCTTCTACAACTTTAAGACTTGGCTTTCTTTCACAACTAAATTTTTTTTATAGCCTTTCTTCCATTTCTTTTCAGTTCGAAAGTGCTACTGCTTATGGACACCAAAATGCTTCATCAAATACTATATTAATTTCTTGATGTATAGCATCAATCATTTGTAGGATCATTTCTTTCAATACCATATCCCATGAGGATGT